AGTAACTCCCAATTAGGTCAAATAATCCCCAAATGGAAGGAATTATTTGACCTAGGGTGATTTAATTCGGTTCCCACAATGAAGCTCTATCCCAGCACCTCCAATGAACTTTAAACTGAGGGAGGATCATTTGTCAGGAAGCTCATTGAAAGGTGATTCTCTATTAACGTTTTCTTGTTTTGTAATTTCTTTTACTTTTCTTGGTTGAAAACAAGTAAACAATTTACTTGTATTAGACTCACAAAATATTACAACAAGACAACTCTCAAAGGAAGGACAAACTCTTACAAGCACTCTTTCTCACTTTACTCACACTTCTCACAAGGAATACTTAACTCTATAGCTTATTGACACTCTTCGCTTCTTGAGACTCTTCACTTCTTGATTGGTTGATTATACAATGCATGGCTTCATGCCTATTTATAGTTGTTTCTAGCCGACTTTGCCAAGTTCCACCGACTTGGGACTTCTTCTCCTAGCCACATATTGTTTGTTCTCTAGATAATTCTCCAAGCTTCAATCTGCCAACTTGCTTAGCCACTCCACTGACTTGGGCTTTTATACCTCAGCTATTACTTTTGTTTTCTCCTAGATTGATATATATTATAAATTCTATATATTTCTAGTGGTATTATCACCTTGTTGTTTACACTTCTGGTGCTTCTAGAACATTGTAGAGATTGCTCCTCAAAATGGGCTGAGCTGGGGTTGATACTTTAACACTAGGAAACAAAATTTCTGGTGTGGTAGCAACTTTTTGGCTGATGAACTTGAAGCCGTGAAGAGCTAAAAAAACATTCCATTTTATCCTGGACAGCTTCGTTCACCAGTCAGAATGGGTTATCAAGTTTTCTTTGGCCATGTGACAGTCTTTTAGGATGGCAAGAAGGAAATGCTTATGTCTGTTTATGGAATTTGCTTAGAATCTTTCTTACAGTCCGAAGTAAGGGGAGTGAGTCAAAGCTGAGATAATCACCACTTAGAGAATACCACATAGCAGTGCTTGGATCATCTCTTCAAGGTAGGTTTAAAGAATGTTTGGAAGAAAAAGTCGTGGGATAGATAATACGGGTGACTGGATCTCTGCTACGACTTCTGAAGGAGATGATGATACAGAAGATGGGCGAGATCCTGCAAACCGATTGTCAGAAGATTTGAGGAAGTCAAGAATGGGATTCACGCAGGGCCCTGATGACAGCTTCAATGAAAGCGAGTTCAATGAACAGGGTAACTTACAGATGTCCTAATTTGCCAATTATATTCTCTTATATAACCTGTATATTGCCAATTGAAGGTTTTCTTCGTGTAACTCCTGTGACTTAGAGCTTGTTGTATGTGGGGAAATATTTGAGTCCCAACTGTTTTCTTAGAGTGAAAAAATCAAAGTGGCCGAAAGCTGCCAAGGTTTCCTAATGAACCTTGAAGAGCTCTAGGGACTAGAAACCCAACTCTCTAATTTGCATTCGCAGCTACAGTTCCCATGCGTCCATTTCACACGCACCACATTCTTTGGATTGTACTGGCTAAACAGAAAGCCCACTGAGTTTTCCAATAATCATCTTTCAGTTTTAAAAATGTGTGGATTTAAATTACCTTAGAATCATATAGTTACCTTCATCAAAATGTTGACCCTATGCATTCTTGTCGAAACAGCAGGTAGTTTGCAAATACTTCAACAAATTATCCTGTTTGATATATTTTTTCAATTATATTTGAACTTCCTATGCATATATGCTATGAACTTGGGGAATTGATTTCTTTTTAAAGAAATTTCTTTCTTGCATTTATCTTATGGGAAAAAAAATGTAAAGCTGAATTTTCAAAGTGACTACTCTATGCAGTTGAAGCATTACGAAGCTCCATCCCAGCACCTCCAATGAACTTTAAACTGAGGGAGGATCATTTGTCAGGAAGCTCATTGAAAGGTGATTCTCTATTAATGTTTTCTTGTTTTGTAATTTCTTTTACTTTTCTATCTTGGTTGAAAGGCAAGGGTGAAGTTACTCTATTGGAGGCAAATCCGTGGATAACCCCCATAGTACACTGTACTTTGTTGCTTCAACCTAGGAAACAAAATTTCTGGTGTTGTAGTAGCAACTTTTTGGCTGATGAATTTGAAGCTGTGAATAGCTAAAAAAACATTCCATTTTTTCCTGGACAGCTTCAGTTCACCAGTCGGAATGGGTTATCAAGTTTTCTTTAGCCATGTGCCAGAGTCTTTTAGGATGGCAAGAAGGAAATGCTTATGTCTGTTTATGGAATTTGCTTAGAATCTTTCTTACAGTCCGAAGTAAGGGGAGTGAGTCAAAGCTGAGATAATCACCACTTAGAGAATACCACATAGCAGTGCTTGGATCATCTCTTCAAGGTAGGTTTAAAGAATGATCGTATTATAAGATGGGTGGTGCTAGAGGCACCAACTTTGGGCACCAACTCTCTAATAGAGGTGGAGCCCGCCAATACAACGGGTCCCACGCTCAATTAGAGAGTTGGTGCCTCTAGCATTTTCCTTATAAGATACGAACAATTGAGTAGGCACGACGCAGCCATCTATATAAGATCTATGATGGGATTATGTATACGTCGGATTCACGAGGCTTTGTCATTTAGTTAGCTATATACGTAGTAGTGTTGAAATATGGTGTATGTTCTATGTAACAATGAGTCGATCAGTTATTGGCGTAATGTAATAGTGATTTTGGTAGTTCCAGAGGCATTCTTTTTCTTGTTCATGTGGTTGGCCTTTGGGTGATGTATATCTCAACTTTGTTACAATCACCATTGTTGACAGTGTTTAAGAAGAGTGTTGTGATTATGCGGAATAATAGCTTGTAAGACACGACCATTTTTGTGTTGTTGCCGTCTCCCCACTGTCATTTTACCTTTGTAGGGAGACTCTACTCGTCTCCAGCTAGCATATTCTGCCTAATATAGATATTTGAATTACCTTTTTAAAGGCATTTCTGTTTTCTCTTACAGTGTGTTTGGATGAGGAAATTTAAAAATACAAAGGATTTCATAAATGACGGAAATTAATGTTCTAGAATTTGTAAAGTTTCTTGTTTGGGTGACGGATTTAAAACACAGAATTTAACCTCTATTTGTAAAGTTATCTTTTTAAAAACTCAATTTCTCTTGGGATTTTAGAATTGACGACTTTTAGATGGAATTTAAAGTTGGGATTTATGATCTCCAAATTCCATGTTTTTTCCCACGCGGAATTTCTAAATTTCTATGTTTTTTTAACCAAACACGGGAATTAGTTCATGTCAATTTAGAAATTCCGACTTTTGTCAAAATCCCAAGTTTATTTCCCTCATCCAAACGCATTGAACTTTAAAATTTTGAAATAAACTTTGAACTTTAATTATGAGAAAATCCCAAGTTTATTTCCCTCATCCAAACGCATTGAACTTTAAAATTTTGAAATAAACTTTGAACTTTAATTATGGGATGAACTCAGATTTGAAAGCTAGCAACTTATATGCAATTATTATCTGCTAAAAGAAACTAAATATTGGATGATATTGCTGCTCAAGTTATGTTTATAAATTTTTTTTGTAGTTCAAAGGTTTAGATTATTTAGTGGGAGATTGTGGCTCTAGCTGTTAAGTCCGAGACCCCAAGTCCGAATCCTCTCTATTTAATAATTTTGTGTGTGTAGGATTATGTATTATGATGTGTTCATTTGTTTGCTCGGTCAAAATAGAGATTTTCTTACATACACTGCCAATGTGCCAAGTTTCGAATTGAACTTGAGATCACTAGTTTGCAAGTCAAGGTTCTTTTTCACCGAACTGGACCCAATTACTCGGTCAAACTTTATTCAGCTGGTAGTGATGGGATTCATACAGAAACCGACCAACAATGGAAATAACAATTTGTAAATCATGAGCTAATGACAGTTGGAGGAGAAACTTTGTTACAAGTTGTGATTGATGACATATGAAAGAGGGAACCAAAGAAAGACTGTTCGGTTTGTAGCTTTGTTTGCAGTTGAGAAAACATCAACAAAGCAACCGACCAAGAACGTCAGTCAGATTACAACAGACAATACATGTCATTAGGGTTTTCCTATTTTTAATTTTTAAAAGTCAATAAATAAATAAATCCCCCTATTTTTAGTCGCTTAACAACCTCCTCAATATATCAGCCGGATTTGGCCTGCATGATGTTATCAAGTACGAAATGAGGCTCCATGACATAATAGATGATGTTTTCTTAGCTAGATACTAACGAAGTGCTTGTCCAGTTATAATCGTACAATTTGTTATATATGTAAAAGACAAATATCAAATCCAAAATGATTGGTTAAAAGAAAGAAAAGAAAATCAACTGGAAAAAAAAATTGAGATATTTAGTCATATACCTATTCTTAGCACTAAAATTATAAATAAATCTTACACAATTTAATTTCTATAAACAAACCTTAAAAATGATAGCTGACTCTATTGAATTTAATTTGATTATTAAATTACTTTGATGCCCTATTGAGTGTTTTGGGTTTTTTTATGATGTTTTGGGGTTGAGTTTGTTTTAAGAAATCAATGGCAGTTTTGTAATTTAAAATAAGTTAAAAGTCTTTTTGTTATATTGTAAATGAGTTTTGGGTGTGTTTCTAAAGTCTATTTCATATAGAATTTTTTCATAATTTGGGCTCCTATATTTGATATAATAGTGAATCTTCCAAAAAAATTTGATAAGGCAGCACTTGCATTTTTGTACTTTGATTTCATGTTACTGAGAGTAGTTCATTCCAACCTAGCTATGATGTTTTCCTCAACAAAAGAAGAGTAGATTAGAGGATTTCTACATGACATTTCATTTATGCCAATGTGTTAATTAACATTTGATCAAAATACTTCCTCGTTCATAAGAGTTGAACTCGGAGTTATAATAAAATAATCAAAAGAAAACTGTGTGTCACTAAACTCTAGATAAACTATTAACGTGCGCAGTAAATTTTTAATAAATAAACCATTAACATGTGCTGTAAATTTTTAAACCTTCAAAATAGAAAACAATGGAAAACACTGATCTATCTTTACAAGAATTTAAATATTGGTCCATATAAGATGAAAAATGGCATATTGATTTCACTAAAAACGGACGGATTCAACGAAGTCTTTGACTGCTTAATAAAAACCAACAAGACACATTTGGACAACAACCACCATCCTTGCACAAATAGCTAAAGCCTCCCTCCTACTCACCACTTACAAATTTCCTCCAACTGGCATACCCACAGAGTTGGGAGAAAACTCTTCTTTTCATTTTCCTTCCTTTCCCCCTCACTTTCCCACATAATTTTCCCTCCAACCAAACACTCCCACAATCATGGCTGGCATAGACTCCTCCTTTGAATTTGAACGGTCCTCCTCCAGCCATAGCCACCCACGTCACCCCACGCCCGTCAGCTCCTACTCCCGGTCAACCCAAAACCGAACACCCAACAGCCGGAGGTCCCGCCCAACGACGCCGTTTGGGGCGGACAACGACGTGTCGTGGCAGGGCGAGATTTCGTGGCAGTTTGAGCCCACTGGGTGGAGTGACACTCGAAGCTTGGGCTCAGCTCTGAGCCCATGGGCCGCCACCAGCACCACCACGGAGGCCCAAATAGTTCGCCGCTCAGCCAATTACTACTACCTCTCAAGAACCTCTGGGTTCAGAAGCTCTAGCCAAAATAACCCAAATTACGATTCCACCCGTGACGGCAGGCTTGAGCTTCAAAGCTATGTTGCTCCTCCTAGAGATGGCAATAACTATAATAACTATAATAACAGAGAGAGTTCTTTGGTTTTTGGGAAGAGTAATTACAATGCTAATTATAAAAAGTCCCCAAAATTGGAGAAGATTAAGGAGCTGGGAAGTGGGAATTATAGTGGTCCTTTGGCTAAAAGAGATGTGCTTGGTCATTATGATGATGATGATAAATCTGAAGTTTTGGGTCATGGGTTGTCACATAATTTGGGTCATGACCCAGGTGGTCATTTTTATGGCACATCAAAAATTATAGGACATGGTGGCTATGGTCATGGGTTGTCACATGCAGGGCATGATCATCATCAGCATGGTTATGATGATCATGCATGGCAATCAACGGTTACTAATAGTCGTAACGATGGGGATGACCGGTACGGTGACAGTGATCAAGGTTCTGTTTTTGATGAGGAGGGTGAGGATGAGGAGGATGCAGTGCCACCAAAGCAAGTCGGGTTGCTTAGCTTGTTCAAGTATTCAACAAAATGGGATTTGGTTCTTGTTTTTTTGGGCTGTGTGGGTGCTCTCATCAATGGAGGGTCTCTTCCTTGGTACTCTCTTCTTTTTGGACAGTTTGTGAACAAGATTGCAAAAGAATCAACATTCGCTGACAAGACTCCGATGATGAAGGATGTAGAGACGGTATGTTATGTACAGATATTTTTACACAAGAAAAGATAGATCATGCTCATATGTTTTATTTTCTATGTTTAGATTAAGACATTTTCTTCACTGTTGGTAAATTTTTTCTTACCATTGTTTTTGAATATTTACTATAGGTTATATTTGGTTTTGGATTAATAAGGGAAGCTGATTTTCTTTTGAATTTAATTTCAGATATGCCTGTACATGGCTGGACTAGCTGCAATGGTGGTAGTTGGAGCATACATGGGTAAGATGGGCATACATCATGATGAACATTCCTTTTGAATTCTTTTGTTTTTCCTTTGTGTCTAAATGTTTGTAACATATGGAATTTTGTCAAAGCCCATATGAATACATACCAACAGTATTTTTTTAATCACTAAATTGCAGAGATCACTTGCTGGAGAATGGTGGGAGAGAGATCTGCTCAAAGAATGAGAAGAGAATATCTAAGAGCAGTTCTACGGCAAGACATTAGCTTTTTCGATACAGAAGTCGCTGCCGGTGATATTATGCACGGAATTTCCAGTGATGTTGCTCAAATTCAAGAAGTTATGGGAGAGAAGGTCTACTATTTTCTTTTATAAATTTGCCTTGAATAAAATTTTACGATTACGTAACAAATAGTCATTATTGTTCTGTTCTTGTATATTGAGAATCAGCTAGCATTGATACATTTTGAACTTTCTATATAACTGCAGATGGCACATTTCATTCACCACATATGCACTTTCATATGTGGAT